CAATTTCCTTTGCCTTGTTAAATGCTTCTATAAAGGAGATAACACACGAGGGGCTTTGCTTGCCCGTCGCATTGAACAGTCGTCCTCATTTCGAAAATGCGCAATTGAGTAAACCATGCTATAATGGTGAATTGCGAGCGTAGTGCAATAGCTTTGTCGTGCTGGTTTCTCGCATACATTTTCGTACGTGCGGAAAACCACTTACAGGCACAAGTCTACTGTCATTATCCCAAAGACTGCAGCCAGAATAAGACGACCTTGTGGACCTGCCATCTGGGTTTGCAGCCCAGAATGGCGATAAGAAGGTTTGCGACAAGGCGTCTGCAATCCTGACTATTATGTCAAGCCATACAACGCGAGCCGAACCGCAGTGTTCACTCTCACCCGGTGAGCGAAGGCAGCGTTCACTCTCACCCGGTGATCTAAGTCAGCGCTTACTCTCATCTGGTGAGCTAAGTCAGCGCTTCCTCTCATTTGGTGAGCAAGGTCAGCGCGATGCGGCCGGCAAGCGTAAACAAAGCCAGTGCCGCGTTGTCCGCCCCGCCAGTCAGGCGGGCATTTAAATTTTATCCCCATTCGGGTGTCCACCGAACGGCCGAGAAAGCGTGGCCGCCCCCACCTGCGGGGTGGGCTCGCTGGCCGGCCGAGGTCACCCGACACATCGACGTGCTCAGTCCTCCTGTGCGGCCCCAGTCCGGGCGTCGTGAGAACGGTACAGCTTGCCGTACTTCGACAGCTATTCACATTGTGGGGCGCGCCAACGCCAGCCCGGCAGGCGGCTTTCAATAACAGCTGACAGCCAATCAGCTGACTGGCGGCCGTTGTTTGTGTGCGGGGTACGTGCTGTATGCTGCGTCGCGTGCGCATTTGTCGTTTTTTAGAACGGATGATTATCGCATCGTTTCAGCAACAAGGTTGGCACGCGCCCATAGCGCCAGGATCAGCTCAATCGTCAGGAAAGGAACGTTCCGAGGGTATGCCTACACAATCTAACATCCTGATCGAACCAATTCGTTGTAGCGGAGGCCTCATTGTTGGATTAAGACAGGTCTTTGTTAAGTCCGGTTTAACTGAAGCCCGTGACAAAAAGCGCGAGACTCCCGGGCTTCACTGTCAGTCTTACTTCAGCAGCTGATATGCGCGCGATACTTCTTACAAAGGAAATGGAGGAACTTCTGCCAGGGCACGAAATGCTGTTGACATTCTGCATTTCCAAACGCGTTCAGACCAGTCATCGTCTTATGGTCGTGGTGATGTGTGCTGAATTATCATAAAATACTTTTTTCTGCGGTGCGTCCGCTTTTGCAGGGCGTCAGTGAATCTACAAAACATGGATGTGGTAACCATGGGTGGGTCTGCTCTCTATGCAGTTAAGAAGAGCATTATCTGTGCCGCCAACAGCACATAGACGGAATGCATTCACTTTGTTCAAGCTGAAGTGTGTGAAGTGATATTAGGTCGTGCATTCCAGCAGAGCGGTGTTTGTGTTGATTTCGTCATCAACGAGGGGCGTCAGCTCCCAACAGTTTACTTTCGGATGCAAACGGCACTCAGCCTTGGCCGAGACGCCCGGCATAGATCACCAGGCTTGGCCGCCAGTGAATTGCTTTGCGAGCTTGAGCCGCAGCTCGAGTCATGGCTGGGACACGGAGCTGCTGGCTCAGCGGCCCTGCGGCCCGACGTTTTGGGAAACGACCGGGGGCCCGCCGTGTCATGAAACAGGCAGCTCCTGAGCACAGGGGAAACGGGATGGCGGCACACGTTCTGAAATGTCCCCTCCACAGACGCCGTTTGCTTAGAATGCTACCTCCGACACTATCAAGTTTGTTCTCGAACGCACTTCAAACGTGAATAGGCTGCACATGCCCATATTCAGGAACGGATAATAGCTGGCGTGTTATTGCCGACCACATATGTATTTTCCCTCTGGTTTCTAAACACTTTCTTATGAGTTCCGTGCACTTTGTGACTCGGAACAAAGTTGTGAACACAACGCATGCCGTAGAGTTCCGCTGCATCCCGCTATATCGTCCATGAAAAAGCTTCTGACCCGGCCGTTGTTTCCATTACTGAAGCTGTGCATAGCGGCGCTGTCAAACGTTCCCGACCATCGCGTGCGCTATACTCGGAGTATTTTCAGCGACATCCAGCAATAGCGCGTGCCGGGGACCCTGTTTCTGACGGTAAGCAGCACTCGCAGCTCCGTGGAGGTGCGCTCCCGTAAAAGCCTCACGTTTGGCCCTTATTGTAAACAGTGATTACGGGCTGCGAATGTGCATATGTTAGGTGGCGCTCCGTCCCAGTGAAAAGCGGGAGCTGCTAGCCTGGGCTCAGCTGGATAGCACGCCACTGCCGACTAACAGGGCTAATCGTTCTCTATGTAGATGAGGGCGCCACTTTGCATTGGCTGAAGCCGCGCCAGATTTCGAATGTCGGAAGCCTTTGCCATATGCGGCGAGTAAATGGGAATGGTTAGCTATAGTTCCGGACGAAATTTCGCGTCCGTTCTCTGTTTTCGGTCCGCTTCGAATGTGGCATTTGCTGTCACCTATGGCTGATCCTCTGTCTATCTGGAAATACAGCATTCACTGACCTCGCTTATTATTCGTTATACAGCCACAGCAGCCGGAATAAATAACGCTAATAACAGCTTTTAACAGACTTTATTGTGATTTATCTTAAAACGAGAGACCGTGTAGGTCGTGTTCGCTGCCGTGCAAAAATTTTGTTATCCACAATAACGTTACGTCTAACAATAATCTACAGGCAAGAGCGATGCGGGTGCTTTCAATTCTGTTATGCTGTTTTAAAAAATTAAAAGAATGTGACAGTTATGTCAAGGACATTGTTGAAGCAAGCAATGGGCATTAGGTTTATTGATAAAAACGATGGCGTTTCTGCCAGCAGCCTGCACAGTTCTCCTGCGTATGTCATACTTTCCGACACTGCAACCGCGGCCAAGGTATATTAATTTAAAATGGGAGATAGACGGGGATTGGGAATGCAAATTGGAGGCACGGAAGGGGAAACTACTTTTGCATCAGTAAACAGATAACGTGACGAAAAAACGCCGTGACTCTACTGCGAGTTTTACCCCGACCGTTACAGGCATCATCGTGAGACGTCCCGGCCAGGCACAAAAAGACCTGATGTGCTATGCTGTCAAGCGATACATTTTTATTGATGCCAAAACAACCAAAATTGGCGTGCGACTGGATGTAACAAAGAACCATATCATATTTACCTTGGATGTTAGGTCTTATACCTAGGTATGCATACAACCCAAAATCATCCGCCATAATTTGTCCTGAAGTGTTCCATGGGTCAAGAAACCCAAGTGTGCTAGTAAGAAGCCTTTTCCAGAAGCGTTTGTAAATAACATATGCTTTGATCTGGAATCTAAGAAGATGTAGACAGTTGTATTGGATAATCCCTCGGAAAGAGCAGGTTTGTCACTTGAACTAGCTGCTGAAACCAGGGTCTTCACAAAGTTGGGATGTGTGAAGTACATAATGGTTAGACTAGAATTCAACGGTAGCAAAGTTAAACGGCGGGGAATACTAGTGTTAGCAAGTTGAGTGATATTGCGGTGCAATAATTTTCCTATCCAGCTTGATTTATTACGCATTGTGATAAGCTTCGTTTTATCATTCCTACGATACCTTGTCATCCGAGTGATGCGGCCAGAAGTGACATGGAATGGTATCAGGTGACCTTATATTCCCCGTGGACCCAAATGCAGATATTCTCTGAGTTGAGCCAACATGACCAGGCAGATGTATGGAATAGCGTGGCGAAAACGTATTTTACCTGGTTTTACCCGATCAGCCAAGCCAACCGAGAGAGATGCCTGAAGATGAATTGAGTACAAAGTTACACCGTACGCACGGATTTGCTCTTCTGTTACTTGTGCGTATCGGGTGTGCCAGAGGTGGAGGATCAGAGGACAGACTCCCACCTCTCCCCCGCTTCGAAAGGTGACGAAACCAGCGAACCGGCTGAGGTTACAGACACTTCACGGACCAGAGAACTCTGCTGGTGTTCCGCCAGTTAGTGATACCACTGCGCTCTATGGCCAAGGGTTATAATTGCTGAAAGTTTTTGTTATAGCTATTTGGTAACCGCCCTGTGAGAGCAAGACAAATTGAACGTGTTGTGACCTCAATACCGAGCCCTCATTCTTGTGCCGCTCTGTGCCATACAGCTCATCGTGCGTTGCAAACCACGTGACACGTTTTGCTATCGGCATGTCGGAAATGTGTTCCAGAGGAAAGTATTTATATGTATCGTTCGCTATGCACATGTTCTGTTTCATTGTGTGAATGATGGAAACGATGAAGCATGTTGTATTACGTTTTAGCCTTATCTCGTCTTATATAATGTTGCTGCCATTGTGCTTGTTGTGTACAATTGCCCCGGCAAGTAGCCAAACTTTTCCTCAAGAGTGTGGTAAAGTGTCAAATTTTCTCTATAATCCTGCGAATTTGGACAAATTCTTGTGAAACCATCCGGTATGTAGTGTAAACCTCTTGGCTCAGGGGCATAACCCCCTTGACTCCCCTTCTTGCACGCGATCCTGCTTTTCACAAGTTACGAATAGATTTTATCGTCCAACCCCTCCAGATGCATTCTTAACTCCGCGTTTTGCATTCTAAACTCACTCCAAAATGCATTCTAAGCTCCGTTTCCGCTTCCGAGACCACGTACTGACGCTTCACCATTCTGGGGCCGATGGAAATGCTTTTGGGAACAAACAGATACGGTTGGCGAATGGAACGACTAGATCATGTATTATTCATAGTTCTCTTTTCCACCCGATGCCACTGTTGATGGCTAGCAAGTGCAGAACTTTTTTAGTTTGTTTCAAAAACCGAATTGTTCGCCCCTTCGGCGAAGTTGACTCGTGTATGAGCGGAGTTAACCATGCTATAATCGGAACGAAAACGTGGTTATCCTCTGACACTTGTAGCTCCAATGACCTAGATCGTGGTCCCTTTCAGACGGTGGCGGCATACGACGACATCTTGCGGAACATCGTGGAACTGGGCGCCAGCTGCCTAAGGTAAGCAGAGACATCTAGCGTCAAAAGTAACTGAACTGACACCTAGCGGAACACTGCTGTACTGCGGGTTTGGTCCATGCCGTTATAGATGGTATCGGAAGGAATCCCAGGCAGACGCCGAAATGTCTGAGCCGCGTGTGTGCTCGTTAGCTTTCAATACAATTTTGTGCATTGGTAAGGAGTCCACATCTTAACCAATCTTATTATTTGACAAGCTTCGGTGGATGAGATATGCAAACATCGCTGCGGCGCGACATCAAGGTAATGAAACTAGGAACTGATGAGAGAGAAGAGGGAGAGAGAGGGAGAGAGAGATAGAGAGGGAGGGAGGGGAGCGGGAGGGGAAGAGGGAGAGGGAGAGGGAGAGGGAGAGGGAGAGGGAGAGGGAGAGGGAGAGGGAGAGGATAGGGAGAGAATATCATATATCTGTGTGTGTATACGCACATAAATTGACAGGCAATCATAATAAAACATACATAACATACAAACATATGACAGTAATCATAATAAAACTTTGTCTGCAACATAAATAGCGCCATGCACTTGATGCATAGGCCATACGATTGATAATTAGCAGTGGTATCACATTCATTTCATCCCTACAGAAGGTGGTCGTGACGTATGCTGCGTCCGATTGAATGGATTCCGGTCAGAAATATTCATCTTCTGGATATGCTACATACAATGTATTGGGCATGGTCTAAACATGCGCTTCAACATGCGTGTGGAAACACTTTCAACATCAACATTCCGTGCGTATTCTGGGTCCAGTCTCTGTATACTAGAACACCTCTTGAGGCGCCGGCTCGGCTCGGCGGCAGGCGTTCTCAGACCCGCAGTCAAACGGACCGCCAGGTCCAGCTGCCGCGTACCGTAAGCGGTAGACCGTGTGCCGGCCGCCGCGCCGCGCCGCGTCGCGCGTGCACCCCGCGCCCGCGCCCGCGTCGGAGCCGTCGCGCCGGCACCGACGCGCCGCCAGAGCGCCGACGGCCGGCAGCCGACGCGCGTGCCGGCGACGGCCGACCGCTGAGGGTTGTGAGGGCCGAAGGTGAGCTCTCACAGCCGGAGCCGGCGATGAGCCAGAGGAGCGGCGCTGGTCCCGAGGCCGGGTGACGAGCCAGAGTGGACGGAGAACACCAGGGCTTGGCGGGGCCGTGAGTGCTGCAGGTGTGTCTCGCTCTGGATCAGACGCATCGGCGGTGTGGTGACCAGTGCAGACGATTTCCCGAGCCTTGTGATCGACTCACGCGCAAGGGAGGTGAACGAGGCGGCCAGCAATGTGTACCAGTATTGACTGACCTGTCAACGCGCAGCAGACATCGAAGCCATCAGTGACGCGCTGGCGTTATCACGATTTTTGGAGCATCCGCACTACGCTTGCTGGTGTCTAATCCCTGGCATCGATCTTAGTGCAGAGACAGCTTGCCTCTCAAAGTCGGATTCATTTCTGGTAAGTCTCGCATACGTTTAACCTTAGTGGAACTGGCGACAAACCGATCTGATTTTAGATGTGACCATATCTGTTGTCAGAAGTAGGATTCATCTTCATTTGTTTGTGTTTTTTGCTCCTTTTTTTGTTCTTAAATGCATGTCCTGAATACTTCAATGCATCATAATGCAGACCTTGTTAGTAAAGATTCCAACTGGCTTACACCTGAGCTTTACATATGACCTGCACCAGCCTCGAACCATGTGAGGTTACTGACTCGTGAGCAAAGGTCCTGACGGCGAATGTGCTGAAAGCCGGTGCTCCGTAATGCACTCCTGACTTGCGTCCTGCTTGATGACATTCAGTAGATCTGTGGTCATGGGGGTGTGAGGTGCTTATAAAAGTAACGTCTTCAAGTACTGCTCCGTAAAGACGGCGACGGGTCATGCCCTGAAATTGGCGTCAATTTAGCTCACAGAGCAGTGATATCGTTAACCAGTATGACTGGTACGCGGCAGTCGGGGAGGAGAAACGCTCCAAAGTGCTTAAAAGAAAACTTTTCTTTTTAATTAGGTTGCGTTATGCATTGCTAAAGCGCCAAATTTTAACGAATATGGAGGTGGCCATGGACTCTACGAACCCCTTTCCCCCCAAACCGCTACTACGTTTATGGAGCCAGTATTTGTTGGATAATCACTGAAGGGAAATGTGATGACCCAAAAAGCCCGAACCTTCAAAAGGAATTCTGCAAATCTGCCAAAGTGTTTCGATATCGTCGTTTACGCCACGAGTTTAAGCGTGAGGTCATCCAAAGACCAAAAGCTTTTGCAACACCCTAGAATAAGTACAAGCGAAAGTAGATGTGCCTTCGGAAAAAAACGCTGATGCGTTTTGTTGACAATTGGAAGCCTTTCACCAGACTTGAAAAACATGACTAGACTCCATGGGTGGACTTCATGACTGGACCTTTTCTAACCCGGGCTGACAGACCGCTTTAAACAATAAACTTATACAGACCGGTTAAAATCCCATAGATTGCGTTCAGTATTACCCTGCCGTCTCCCAATTTTTGCCCGGCCATTCTTGTATGACATGGGCGACGGTCGTTATTCATCCCTGTCCTGAGGAGCGTAGTGACACCAGCAAAACTAGCGAGTTAAAATGGTGCTGCAGGTTATTTCGGAGCTACCAAACTCTGAGGCATCACCCCCACAGTTATCCTTTCCTTTGGCTCTATTTTGTGTCGCGCCATCCTCCCGTCTTCCTGTGTTTCGCTGAAAGTTAGCTTTGCTTGTAGAATCGCCGCAATGCCAATGGGCTCCCTGTTATTTGATTCGATTTAACCGGATCAAATGCTTAAAACACAAACGATGGTAGATTTCGCATTGCGTGGTCTGAAGTCCTCAGAACCTCGCAAAAGGATCTCGTAAGCTTGAGATCGGTTGAGATCAGTGGTTCTGAGTTTGCACCGATCAATGCGTTAGTTTAAGTTCTCTTTGAAGTGACTGTGAGCTGCGAACACCAAGACCTCCTGGGTAATGTGCCGGCCGGAAAATTATTGCAGATGATTTATACTTGGCCGAACAGGAGCAATTTCATAGGTTATCCAGGACTTTAACCTTCCACAGACTTTTGCTCAGCATCCTTGGTGTGTCGTATATTCTTGTAATCTTATGTAAGAGATTTTGAGGCTTATGTGGATTGAGCGTGAAATGAGCGGAGAAACAGCTGATACCCTTTATGAATAGAACAACGTTCACAGCGTGCGTTGGGTATTGATCAGCGCAGTTGGCGTCTCCAATAGATGGGAAGGGGGTCGGGGGCCCACAGCCTCACTTGAACCCTCTGACACCCTGGCAGTGGTGACTGTCATATCGCGCCAATGGTTCTTTCCCTACATTATCGACTTGAATCCCCGCGAACGCCAGTTGGCATCCTCTCCAAATCAGGTTGAGTTGAGCGAGGTCAGATCGGATGATCTGAAGTTTTCAATTCTGATGACTCCCCTGGTTTAACGATGTTTGTGACGTTTGCAGTGGCTTATCGCAGTGACAAGGTTTTCGCCTATCCTGCTCGTTTCCGTGAAAACTTCCATGAAAATTTATATGATCGTAATATTTCCTAATGAGTGATTGATACCGTCGTTTAACCAGCACCTTCTGGCATCATGAAGGTTGGTTGTCTCCAACGTAAGGATGCATAATTCCTAAAACCATCAGCTTAAAGACTTCTTCGGTTGCATCATGCAAATTCCATGAAGTGCGGACAATAAGGAGACAGCGTGGGAAGCGGTATCACATGAAAGTTGCTTTGTATTTTTATGGGCTCCAATTTCTGCCTTCTTCTTGCACATCACATTCTGAATAACGTCCGGAGATTGACACTTAATCCGCACGCCGCTCTAAGTGTTCTCCAGAGGCAAACAGACCGCTGACCTGGTCCGACGATAACTCAGCACTTGGGGTCCTTAGGTAACCCGACCCCTGGGGAGCAGCTATCTTCTCCCCTGGTGTTGTTATACTACACCTCCGCATCCTTCGATGGGTTGGAAGCTATGCGCGTCGTTTCCTTGACAGCTGATGATAATGCTGTCTTATGAACATATTCATGGTATGGGTGCCGTTCTTTTAATTCAGTTGATATGCAATGGTCATATTGTGTTGGGTGACAGAATGTCATACGCAAGAGGCCTCGTTCGTTTTTGTCTGCCGCTCCGTTTTTACCAAGCCACCGGACGTCAGCAGCAACAATACAGGATTCATTAATCAGATCACCCAAGCCCGCCTGGCTCCTTTGATTGACTTTGGATGTGAATAATTGGCTGCAGGGATGGTACAAAAACTGCCTGTTTTCTCTGTCCCCAACGCAAAAAGGTTTATTTTCAAGGCGAGAGTCAGTGTTGGAAAGTTAATTGTCAAGAATTTATGGCATAGGGAAGGCTGCCCAGCCCAACCGGCAACCGTGACTCTTGCGTCACTTCTTTTGCAACGCTGTGGAGTTTTTCTTTTGGAGGTTCGGACCATTGTCAGAGTGACTTTCAAAGAAATGACCTATTTCCACGCCAAATGTAGAAGTGTGCCTAGTATGGTGTGGGTCGGCGTTGCCTTCATAAGAGCTGCATTACGTGGCCGGACCTTGATGTACGGCTCATTGCCAGCAACGAAAGTGTTTTGCGCAGCTGAACGTTTTTCGTTGGTTGAAGTGAGCGTTTGTCATTTGACTACCTTAACAGGCATGCCATAAGCTGAGCATCAGCATCCGCCATCTTTGTTCACTTCATTTGTAGAACCACTCACCATTTGACGACGCTGAGGTAACCCGCACTGGCTTGCCGCGATTCACACCTGTGCACAACTTAACGCCATCGGCTGTATTCTTCCGCGCCTTGCTCCGAATCATAACAAAATGAAAATCCAGTCGGCCAAGACCATAGGTGGAGAATACTGAACAAGTTGTGGCAAAACTGCCGGCTCTTGCATTTTTCGGTGACGAAATGGCAAAAGGTCACTGACTGATGGAAATCGGCATTGGGCACTGTCATGCCTTCCATGCTGTGATGGTCGTCATTGTA